TCTCAGTCTAATTAATAGGTTATTTTGGAATCAAAGAATCTTTAGTTAGAATGAATGTTGGCACTTACTCAATCAAACTTCTATGCAAAAATTACTTTTATAAAATCATCTAACCAGTGCATGGGCACATATAATGCTGGGACTCTGGCTAACAAGGCAATGACTCCATTTTTATACAGCCATAATTGTTGGACAGTTCTTCCAGTGGATCAAAATTTGCTTCTCTGTAACTCTCACCCGTTAGTTTGAGGTCTGCCATCTAAAGGCGCAGAAAACAGTGTCTTCCAAGTCACAGCTCTTTCTTCTAGGTTATATATCCTTCACATATTTTTATAGTCTTTTATAATAATGATTTCATGATTCAGTGCTCTCCTTAGTTACCTTCCTGAGTTCAAGCTCAGTTTATCAATACTTCCTTTAAACATGTTAAAAGGATACCATCTAACCATAGTAGTAACACCATCTGTTTTGAACTTAATTTGTTTTTGCAGTCTAAGATTTTATTTGTTTTCACTTTGCAAATGAGATTCAATAGGTGACTCATATTTAGCTCTAGCTCTACTAAAATAAAGTTAAGTCCTCCACTCTTGCATGTAGTGGACTCTGTCCACTTGTTTTGGTGCATAGAATCTGAAGCCCCTTTATGCACTGGAGGAGTCACCTTGGTATGCGGTAAAGACCACTGCTCCTACAGGTGCTGATAACCTAGGAGGCAGCGTTGGGGAGCCACAAGATTGCTGGTGCAGAAGTGGTTTCTGTGCTGGAAGTAAGTAATACCAAGTTCTCAGTGAAGAAACAGCAAGAGTACAATCCTGGTATTGATGATGACTTCCTGATCAGACCAGTTCTGTAGCATGGTTTGGGGGCACTGGTCCTGAAGTTTAGTTCTGGTCTAGTTCTCTAGTCCTCCCAAAGACCCAGCAAGACATCCAATATCATTTTCTTAAAGTAATATACTTAAAATTTTTTTGAAACTATTACAACTTACAAAAAATGTTGCATGTCCAGAGGCACAAAGAACTTTCTTTCCTAAACCATTTGAAAGATGCTGACATGATAGCCTATCACCCATGGGATACTTTTGTATGCATTTCCTATAAATAAGAACATTCTCTGATATAACAACACAACCATCGAAACCAGAAAATTAACATTAATACCTTATCACCACCTGTTACAGGTTGAACTGTGTCTACCCAAAAAGATATATTTAAGTACCAGTACCTCAGAATGTGACTTTGTTTGGGGATAGGGTCATTGCAGATATAATTAATTAAAATAAAGTCATGCTTGAGTAGAGTGGGTGCCTAATCCAATACAGTATCCTTGTAAAGAGACAGACGTGTGAAGACAAAGAGACACAGGGAGAAGGTCATATGAAGATGGAGACAGAGACTGGTATGATGCATCTACAGGCCATGAAATCCCGAGGATGTCTGGCCATCACTGGCAGCTAGGAGAGAGGTATGAATTCTTCCTCAGAAAGAACCCATCTTGGACTTCTAGCTTCCAGAACTGTGGAACATTGAATTTCTGTTGTTTTAAGCCACCCAGTTTGTGGTACTTGTAATTAGAAACTAATAAACCATCTAATTTTAAAACCCCAGTCAAGACTCACCAGTTGTCCTAATAATGTGCTTTCTAGGAAAAGGATCTAGTTCGGAATCACGTATTGCATTTAGTTGGCATGTCCTTTTATTCTATCAGTCTGAATAGTTCCTCAGTCTTTTCTTGACTTTCATGATCTCGACTTCTGAAGATTATAGGTTATTTTGTAGAATGTCTTTGATTTGGGTTTGTCGACTGTTTCCTTGTGTTTAGATTCAGATTATATATTTTTGGCACAAATATCGCAGAACTGATATCCTGTTCCCAATGCATCATATCAGGTAGCACACAATTTTAATTTCTGCCATTACTGATGACATGCAATTTATTATTTGATTAACGTAGTCTGCCAGGCTTCTCCACTGTAGTTATTTTTTTTCCCTTTAATTAGTTAAGTATTTTGTGGGACGGTACTTTGAAACTATGTAAACAGTCAGTTCTTTTTTTCCATTAAACTTTCGATGTATATAGTGGGTTGTTGGAAAAGTCATGACGTATTTTTTCTATGTTTTTCGTTGCAAAAATGCGTCATGACTTTTCTGACAACCCAATATTTATTATATGTATTTATTTACTTATATTTGTATAGACTCATAGTTTCCTATTTTATTCAGTAGGCTCTAATCCATTTCTATCATTATTTTGATGCTCAAATCGTGCATCAGATTTTGTTAATGAAAGCTCCTTCAAGTTGGCTACTATGTTCTGACATACCTCCATCCATTTTTGAGCCCTTCCTTCTTTCTGGGGTAACGGTATGTTCCAGTCACATGTTCCTGCTCTAGACATTGAATCAGAAATGTCTGATTTTTCTGATTCAGTAGCCACAGGATTCATTCCAGTTTCCTCACTTTCTACATCTGAAACTCCTTCTCTGATAGTAAGAAACTGGGATCTCCTAACTCTTAATATAACTGTTTCTTTGATTACTTCCCAGTATTATGTAATCAATCTTTCCTCTCTGCCACCATTCCCACCCCAGGCAGAGGTTCCTCTAAGCCCACAGTCTCCTCACACTTGGTGACCGTTCTAGTGTGGATATAAGGCTCTGACTTCCCATGTTGAGCCCATCCTCACTCGCCAAATATGGATGTTATCGTCTCCTTGGCTCCATGTGGTCACACATAAGCTTAACATCCTGTGCTGGGCTATCCACTCTGCTTTTGTGTATATTCTCTTCTCACCACGTTTAAGCTCTGTCTCCCCATACCAGGCCATTCTACCCCTCAGCCTACCATGTGGACTACATACATCCTTACTCTGCTTAGCCTCTGATTATCCATACCAGACCACTCTTCTATGGGGGTGCATGCCCTCCTCACCCCACTCAGGCTCTCATTTCCTATGCTGGGTTGCCCCCATTGAGTGGATGGGGGTTTCCTTGGGCCTTGATACCTCCTGCCATGCCATGGGGCTCCCCTCCTCACCACGTTCAGGATGATTCTCCTTGCTGGGCCCCACCTCCTATCTCCATGTAGACAATATCCTCCTCACCTCTTTTGGGTTCTGACACCTCAACCTAAGTCACCTCTCACCCTGTGAATGCCCTCACACTGCTTGGGCTCAGACTCTTCGTAACAACTGCCTCCCCTACATGGACACTTTCATCACCCTGCTGGGGCTATGACACCCCATGCCAGGCCGTCCCTCTGTGCGGCTGCCCTCCCCATTTGGCAGCAAGCTATCCTCTGTGTGGATATTTTATATGACTTAGGCTCTGACTCTCTACTCCAGACCACCCACAGTATATGAACGATCTGACCCTGCTGGCTCCAACAACCCTGTCAGGCTACCCCCCCACCCCTCCACCGATGGCCTCCTCACTGTTGATCTCTGACTCTCTATATCAGTTGTCCTCACATGTGAATGCTCTCACCTTATTTAGACACTGAAGCCCTGTGCTGAGCCACCTCACTGTACTGCTGACTTCCTCGTCCTACTCAGATACTTATATCCCACACCATACCCTCCTCAGCCTGCTTACACTCTGAGTCCCTGTACCAGGCTCTCTCTTAAAAAGAGTGAGGTGTATTTCTTCTTTGATTAAATCGAGTGGACAGCCCAGATAAATGGGGGTTACCATAAGTCCTGGTTTGCCTGGGACAATCTTGGCTGACACCAGTTGTCTTGGGAGTAATTGCTAGTGTCCTCTTTGACTCTCAGAAGTATCCTGGGTTGGATGATAGAGCATATGGTCGCCCTATATCTAACATGCTTTTTTCAAATGAAAGCAACAACTATTGTTTAGTACCCAATGTATGGAAGGCCAACAACTGAAGGGAATATAAAGAAATGTAAGAAATGGTATCTATCCTCAAAGTGCTTAACACTTAGTTGAAGAGGCTGAACAAACATTTCAAGTTAAATATACAAAATTGAAATGGCTTTTAAAATATAACTAGAAGAAATTTTACAAGAATGTGCATAGTTACTTGCTAAATGAATGGCACAATAACTGGTATAACAGGGTTTCACAGGAGATGGGGGTAACTTTCTACTAAACAATCAACAACACAGCACTCAACATCACCATTTATTGAGCACCTATATATGCCAGGTCTGGTTTAGAGAGCTTTACATGTAGATTAGTTAACCCCAATTATCCTATGAGATGTACTATTATTTCACAAGGATGGGAATTTCACTGATGAGAAATGTACCTGATAGAGGTTAAATACCACATGAAACCTTATACAGCTAGTAAGTGACAAAGTCTAATTAAAAGCCAGTGACCTATTTATTGCTCTCGTTTTTCCACAGGGTGGCAGTTTTCAACTGGAAGTAATTTTGCCCTTCTGGGGACATTTAGTGATATCTAGAGACATTTTTGTTTGTCATAAATGTGTGTGTGGGTGGCTAGTAAGTAGTGTGAAGGAATGCTCACTAAAGACTTCACACAAAAAAACTTTTAAAGATAAGATCTGAGCTCAGTCTTGAAGCACTCAGTAGCATTTGGGTAGACTGGGGGATGGTGGTGATAAGGGCGAATTCTAGATAAGGATAGTACACAAAGCACAAAACAGGTTCAAGAGATAGCGAATAAGTCAATTTACCAAGATTGAAGTAAAACAGTATTGAAGGGTAAGTGGGAAGAAAGACTAGAAAGACAAAATGATCTTTTAAAAAAGACTAAGGAACCTCAGCTGGATTCACTGAAGATTTCTGAGCAGGGGAGTGACATGAACAATATAATATTATGTAACATTAATCAAGAAACCAGGGCAAAGAGACGAATTAGGATGCTACCGCAACAGTTAAACCATAAGGTAATTCAGAGTTTGTGCCTTCGTGTGGTGGTATTGAGACAGAAAGGAAGAAACCACAAGCATATACACTTTTATGTATCATAAATTTTTATCTTGCCTCAGAAAATAATAAATTACTATTCTTACCTGTAATGCACTGAAACTGTCCATCTTCTCTTCTTATTGTAAATGCTTCCCCTGGGTTAACTTGTACCAGAATAACCTTAAAATAAGGGGAAGAAGTATTAATCAAAACAACAATAGAGCAAATTAGTATATCAAGGTATTAAATGTTGCTAGTAAGAAAGAAGATGTGAGCTATCTAACCATATGAAACTGGGAAGGAAAATGGAGATTACACATTTGTTAAAAAAGTATTTCATTTTTTCTAGAGGTCAGACTTAAGCCAAAAGTAAGTAACTAAAAAAAGATAGTAGCAAACTTTTATTGGAAAGTCAATAAACTTCATTCTGAAACAAAGATGGGAGTCAAACCACAGAATATTTGGGTCATCGATGCTTAGTTCATCTGTTGTTAATTGCGTTTTTTAAAAATAAAGTTTAAATTTATAGGTAGAGCATGAGATGAGCATACCTGAATTACTACTATGACATCTCAAATTATATTTGAGAATGTGTTAAATCAATCCCACAATTTAGTTTTCTTTTCATTATATAGGTAATATATTAATCTTATGACATTTGAAAAACAAAAACGAGGTCCTCCTATCCTAAGACAAGCACTGTTAATATTCTGATACATTTCTTAGTCTTTTTTTCCCTCTACATATAGGCTTCATTTTTACCCCTTAAATACAGATATATAAGCTAGATCTCCAATTCTTTATCTTTTTCTAGTTTAATATTATAAAAAGACTTTTCCATGTTATTACTCAAAGTATTTAATCAAATGACTAGACCATAAATCACTTCACCATTCTCTTACTTTAAGGAATTTAGGTAGTTTTCAATTTTCCCAATAAACAATGTAGAACTGAGCATTTTTGGTATGTAGCTTTCCCCTCTATAATTAGTATTGCTCCCATATATGATATATTCCCAGAAATAGAATTCTTGCTTCTGTTGCTGAACTGTTTTTTTTTTCTTTTCTCATGGTAACCATTTTAATCACAAGGTGTTAACATACAGATTAACATAAACTTCAGATATCATGAAAATATGTTCCATAAAATTCAGAAATAATCGGTATCAGTGAAACCGGAGCAAGCATTATGGAGACATCAACGCACTGGATGGAACTCTTCAAGAATTTCACCATAAACTTTATCTTTTTCAGGAAAATCCTCTGGATGTAATTTTATATATGCAAACATATCATGGTCTCTCACAGCATACATATAGTCTTGATGTTTCAAAAAGTAATATCCAATAAAAATGAAGGAAGTAACATATAGAAGCTGGCGATGCAAACCCGCCGTCATCACCAGCCTCCGCTGGATCGCGTTATCAAGCAGGCCGGAGCAGTAGCCCAAGAAGCGGAGGCAAACGAGCCTTGGGTCGGTCAGCTTGGACGGGCAGGCTCCGGGCCTCATCCGGCAGGAACCATAAGGGCACTCAGCTCGTCCGTCCACTCATCATGATGATGCCGTTCCTACTTTGAACTGCTTTTTAAAAGGGTTTTACTGATTCATATTCCCCCTCGTAGTCTATAAGAACACCTTTTTGCCCTATTTTCTGCAACTCTGGAAAATCATAGTTTTAAAATCTTTGTTACCATGATAGATGAAAACAATATATTACTATTTTCTAATTTATACTTGATTATTAATAAGGTTAAATGCTATCTTTATATTTGTCACTAGCTCTTTTGTAAACTGACAGTTTATGTCATCTTACCCATTTCTCTTTTGGGTTCTTAAGCGTTCTTAGTGATTTGTGACTTCTTTGCATATTAATAATATTGTACTACATTATGCTGCAAATATTTTCCCATTTTGTTTTCTCCTTAATTTCTAAAACAATTATTTTCTTGCAGCTAATTTATCTATTTTTGCCTTTGTGAGCATTTTTTCTTTTTTTTTTTTAAACTTTATTGGGGAACAGCCATGGGAATTGGTTACATATTGCTTTCATGCTACAATGGCACAGTTGACTCTTTTAGGAGGGCACAGCTCACAGTGGCCCATACAGGGACTGAACCGGCAACCTTGGTGTTATCAGCACTGCGCTCTAGCCAACTGAGCTAATGGGTCACCCCTGTGAGCATTTTCTACTACTTCTATATTTAACTCACAGTTGGCTATCAAGTACTTGAAATATGGCTAGTCTGTATTGAGATGTGCTGCAAGTGTAAAATACATACTGGTTTTCAAAGACTTAGTACAAAAACACTAACAATGTAAAATACCTTAATTTTTATACTGATTACATGCTGAAATAATATTCTAAATATACTGGGTTAAATAAACGTTATTACAATTAATTTTACCTGTTTTCCCTTTTTTAATGTGGTTACTAAAATTTTTTAAATTACTTATGTGCTTGTATTATACTTCCATTGGATAGTGCTGACCTAGAGGTTTGATAAAAATACGAGTTTCTATTTTCTAGTTTTTAGATAATTTAATTGCTTATATTTAGTTCTTTAATGCATCTAAAATTTATCTGGAGAAGATTCAAAAAAGTATCCTTCCCTAGAGAGCTAAACAATACGATTTGCTAAATTTAAGATATGTCCTTTCAGCACACAACATACTCTGGCCTGTCTCATCCATACCACTATTTTGGCAAAAGAAGCTTTGGAAATGTTTTATTTTAATCATTTTAAACACCGTAACTTCAGAACTATGTTTTCTAATGGTGTGCCTCAACCACCACTCTTCTTGTTCAAATATTCTTTTGATACTGACTGGTGATAAGAGAAGGAAAGTGCTACCAGAGCACACAGGACCAAGTATCTCAATTAGCCTGTTATCTGAGCATGTGTGTGTACATATGTGCACGTATGCATGTTTCCATGTGTAATTTCTTTCTAGAGAATGCAAAATTCAAGCTGAGTCCTGAAGGCTGAGCAGGAACTAACTTGGCAAGAAGAATGGGAAAGCCTTTCTGGTAAAGAGAAGCGCAAATGCGAAGCTCCAGGAAAGGCAGTGTCACAAACAGCTTATCATATTCAATGAACAAAAAGAAAAAAAAGTTCAATAGTTCTAATGGTTGGAGCATGGGGCGAGAACACTGGAAAAAACGTGGAAAATGCAGGGAAAGATACACACAAGCCAGGTTCTGAAGGGTCTTGTGAGCCATTTTAAGGGCAATGAAGAGTATTACTTAAGCAGGTAGTGCTACGGAGGATTACCCTGGGGGCAGGGATTAAAAAGTACAAACTGGGGCTGGCGGAGTGGCATATTGGTTAAGAGCTGGCTTGGGA